CACATCGTCCTGTGCAAACTGAACTGAACTGACCTGAGTCTACGTCACTGAAGTTGAGGCAGTATTTTTGATAAGGGGGTGCAATTAAACGGAGACAGTGTGGCGTCCGCAGTTTACACATGGGGCTCTGCAAATGTGAGAAGAAAAAGATGACCACCTTATTTTGCTTTGAGCATCGGGTTAATGTGTGCGAGTTCTGTATGGTGGCAAACCACCCCCGGGTATTTATAATTTGCAATTATTTTATAACTTGCTGCAGTGCGTCGTGAAACCGTATCTGGGCTGGATCAAAGGTGGTGACTTTGACCCATCGTGTGCTATCTGTAACGAGCGTTTTGATGCAGATGAATCTAGAGAATGTGTCAGACTGGTTTGTCTGGGTATGTTGTTGACGCTTATTTAATACATCTCTGAAGATGTCTTTCATTGGGATTGCCTGGATAAGCTCATTTCATCTGCCCCGCCGAATACCGCACCTTCCGGTTTCTTATGTCCATCTTGTGACCATCCCATTATCCCTCAACGTAATCATGGGGGTCCAGTGGCCGAAGCACTACGGTCATTCTTGAATCGAACTCAATGGGCTGCCAACAACTTCTCGGAATTCCATCAGTTCACAAATACTCACACGTCCCAGAACCACTCGTTTGGAGCCTCCGTATCGAATGTTTCGTTTAATAACTGTAAGTTTATTGTGGCTGCTGTATCATTTTTCGAAAATCACCCTGAGATTGTTATCCGATTCGTAACGATCTTAACTTCAGTTCAGTGTGCACCAATCTTGGAGTTTTAAAGAGATTTACGGGTTTTCGGCTGTTGCTCAAGTGTCCTGGATCCTTGAAAGGTGTCTGTTTTATTTTCGTTGAAGCTATTCCAGAGTAGAGCGTACCGGAAGGGTATTAGTAGGGTTCGCCTACTCGAAGCGGAGAGTATGCTGAGCAGGAAGTTCCGCTTACAAAACAAAAGGGGTTACTACGTATGATGCAAACTCAGTATCTGCACGACACACTTTTCTTTCATTTTAGGTATTTCAGATTATTGTGTTGTCGGCTTTGTCCGCGGCTTTCAACTGCGGGTCAATAGGTTTTTCCCTGCAAATGGACAAAGTTGTCGATAAAGTCAGACATGCACATACCCAGGTAATAGTCATTTGAAACAATTAGGGGTTTTCGTAGCTGGCACATCATCAAGACATAAACAACCAGCATAAAGCCCATATCCCTTTCCTGCTTCAAATTTTGAAACTTTAGGATGTCATCGGGAATTCCCCACCTCAGACTGCTGTGCCAGCCCGGGTTTAGACCACTATCATGGATGAAATCATTGCGGGAAAAATGGCTTTCAATAGTTGAATAGCAGTGAAAAGAGAAACATCAGTATCCTCACACTCTTAAAACTTTTCAAAACAAAATCATGTGATTTACATCATTGCGTTTGACCCCGTTGTACAACTGCAATATAGTGCAATCATTTAGTGATTCAAACCGTCATATATCTTATTGTTGTATTTCACACCCAGTGCATACACAAAATAAAAATAATTTCACATTGCATCGGTCGTCGTGCAGGATAATCAGGACCGTGCTGCCCATTGAATCAAGCGGGGTCAGTAGTGATAAGTGGGCTACTGCTCAGATATCCCCACCATTGTTTAACTCTGTATCTTCCGTTCCCAACCCTCTCCCTTTACCCCTTCTACCGACCTTTTATAGTCCCCCAAGCAACTCGGATGTCGCTTGCCAAAGGTCATTGTCAAATAGCACTGTAAGTGATTTACCACGGAATGGCTTGCAGATTCTAATGCCTCGTCAATCACTGAATCTGGGGACCTTCACCGCGAGGACTTTGATGCAGCTAGGTCAACAAGCTTGTCTGGCTCATACAATGGAATCCTTAGGAGTTGATATTTGCTTCGTGTCGGAAACTCGGATCCAGGATCCTACTACTATAAGCCACTTGAGCGCGCAAGATTTTTCAACGAGATACGTTCTTCGCACATCGGGCGACGATGAAGCTCGTTCAGTAGGTCAGTGCGGGGTAGGTATTGCACCCAGTAACATGGCGGAGTCTTCTCTTATCGACTGGATCCCCGTCAACAGTCGTTTATGTGCAGTGAGCCTCCAGGGTTCAATCACCGTCCGGAAGGGAAGCAACACCAAAAGGTGTTTGTATATCGTATCAGCATATGCACCGACCAATTGCAGTTCTGAAACCCAAAAGGATGTTTTCTACGATGAACTCACCGATCTCATTCGGATGAGTCGAAGCTCCGACATAGTTGTACTCGCAAGTGACTTCAACGCGCAAGTTGGAAAACTGAGCGCATCAAAAGCTTCCTTAGGTGGTAGTTGTGCTCTGTGCATTCCGCAGCGAATGTTGCTTGTGGGACTGAGCCCCAAATCCATCGGAGGCATTGGATATTTCAGGAGT